TAGGAGTTTGAGACCAGCCTGGGCAATGTGGCTACCCTGTCTCTACAAAAAAATAGCTGTGCGTGGTGGCATGTACCTGTAGTTCCAGCTATTTGGGAAGCTGAGATGGGAGGATCTTGAGTGAGCCTGGGAGGTTGAGACTGCAGTAAGCTGTGATCATGCCACTATACTCCAGCCCAGGCGACAGAGCGAGACCCTGTCTCAAAAGACAGATAGGCCGGGTGCGGTGGCTCACGCCTGTAATCCCAGCACTTTGGGAGGCCAAGGCAGGCGGATCACGACGTCAGGAGATCAAGACCATCCTGGCTAACACGGTGAAACCCCGTCTCTACTAAAAATACAAAAAAATTAGCCGGGCGTGGTGGCGGGCGCTTGTAGTCCCAGCTGTTCGGGAGGCCGAGGCAGGAGAATGGCGTGAATCCGGGAGGCGGAGCTTGCAGTGAGCCGAGACTGCGCCACTGCACTCCAGCCTGGGTGACAGAGCAAGACTCCGTCTCAAAAAAAAAAAAACAAAAAAAAAAAAAACAAAAAGATATAAAAAGGAATGAACTGATTAGTGGAAAACTGCAACAATCAGGGACAGTGGATATACACTCTAATAACATGACATTTAAAGCTAGGTTTTACGGGGATTGGTTAGAAATTGTGGCTGAAACAATGGTTGGTAGCTAATGAGATTAAGGTGAGGCAGAAGGGAGACTGCCAAGGGCTTTGCATGCTAGTATTTTATTGTATCAGGGCCTTTTGTTTGGTAAACAGGTCTAGTGTAAGTTCCCTGCTAAGGGATTACCTCTGGTGGAACTGTTACTGAATTCATCACAAGGGTGATCAGAATCTTACGTCCTGGTAGAAACAAAAACCACACTGATTAGAAAACAGTAAGTCCTACTAAACTACCTATCACTTTACATAAGATTAGGGAGGTTGATATCTAATGAGACAAGAAATCTTAAATAACTTAATAGCAGGGCAAAGCAGGACCAAGAATATATAATACAGAATGGAACTGGAAATACAAAGGAGGATCCACAAGCTGGTCACAGGTAGAGTCAGGGCACCGACTACAACACAGGATCATGACCTTGGCCCAGTTTATGTTTCCACCACTTATTGCTCTTGGGATCCTAGCCAAATTGTCTTTTATAAAGGATTTTCTGCTTTTTCATGTTTTCTGCTTAGTTCCTCTCTTGTTAAATGGTATATCATTTATGGCACGTGCTTCAGAGGAAAGCTGAGGGCTAAATGAGATAGCTGGTGCAAGTGCTTTGAAAAGGTAAAGTGTTATACAAATATGAAATATTTAAAAAGAAAGTATTGAGCTATCCTTAGAAATCAGGGCAGAATACTTAGGTATGTAAGAGATGAATGGAAAAGAAAGGAGAAACTGTTAATGTAAGAACAATGCTGAGATGTATAAAACAAAGGACGAGACCGGGCGCAGTGGCTGACTCCTGTACTTCCAGCACTTCAGGAGGCTGAGGCGGGCAGATCACGAGGTCAAGAGATCAAGATCATCCTGGCCAACATGGTGAAACCCTGACTCTACTAAAAATACAAAAAATTAGCCAGGCATGGTGGCACGCGCCTGTAGTCGCAGCTACTTGGGAGGCTGAGGCAGGAGAATCTCTTGAACCCGGGAGGTGGAGGTTGAATGCCGTTGCACTCAAGCCTGGTGACAGGAGTGAGACTCCATCTCAAAAAAAAAAAAAAAAAAAGGGATGAAATGTGCAATGTGGACAGTTTCATGAGTTTTTTTTTTTTTTTTTTGAGACTGAGTTTCGCTCTTGTTGCCCAGGCTGGAGTGCAATGGCATGATCTCGGCCCACTGCAACCTCTGCCTCCCAGGTTCAAGAGATTCTCCCGCCTCAGCCTCCCAGTAGCATGTGTGCTGACGCCCGGCTAATTTTGTATTTTTAGTAGAGACAGGGTTTCACCATGTTCGTCAGGCTGGTCTCCAACTCGTGACCTCAGGTGATCCGCCCAAAGTGCTGGGATTATAGGCGTGAGCCACCACACCCGGCCTCACATTAGTTTGTTTTTTTTTTTTTTTTTGAGATGGAGTCTCGCTCTTTGCCAGGCTGGAGTGCAGTGGCGCCATCTCGGCTCACTGTAACCTCCGCCTCCCAGATTCAAGTGATTCTCCTGCCTCAGCTTCCCAAGTAGCTGGGACTACAGGCATGTGCCACCACGTCCAGCTAATTTTTGTATTCTTAGTAGAGATGGGTTTCACCATGTTGGCCAGGATGGTCTTGATATCTTGACCTCGTGATCTGCCCACCTCAGCCTTCCAAAGTGCTGGGATTATAGGCGTGAGCCACCACGCCTGGCCACATTAGTTTTGAAATGATGAAAGCCTCAACAAAAAGCCTCATTTACTTACATATAGATAGCAGTTTCCTTAGGAATAAACCTTTGGACCACAGTGACAAATATTCGTATAACTGGCTTTGACTTAACCATTATGTTCTCTCTCCTCGTGATGCCTACTACTAAATGAGTACTTACTTCTACTTTTACATACTGAGAAAATTGCAGGACCACATGCACTGTTACATGAACCCTATGCAAGTTTGCAGGTTTCTATTCCGGCTTTTGTTACACGGAGTTGAAATTACCTGCTGATGTTAGACCACACAAGTTACTTCAGGGCAGGACTGTGCCTTGTCAAAATCTTTCAATGGCTTTCCATTCATTGTCCTTAAAGAAGTCCAAGCCTTAATAGGCATAAAATACAATCTGGTCCCCACCATCTCTGGCTTTACCTCTCAGTGCTCTCCTCTGCCTGGCAATTTGGCCACACTTACACTCAGATCATCAATGTACTACACTTTTTCTGACAATAGCTTTTGCACAGGTTGTTTCACCCGCCCAGCATACCTTGCTCCATTCTTCTTGGCTTAGTTTCCTGGTTTATATAGTTACTATCGTCTCTGACTTCTCTTGAACCTCCTTCTCATCTGGGTTAGCCTTCCTTTTTTTTTTTTTGAGATGAGTCCCACTCTGCTGCCCAGGATGGAGTGCAGTGGAGTGATCTTGGCTCACTGCAACCTCCACCTCCCAGGTTCAAGTGATTCTCCTGCCTCGGCCTCCCGAGTAGCTGGGACTGCAGGTGCACGTCACCACACCTGGCTAATTTTTGTATTTTTAGGAGAGACAGGGTTTCACTATATTGGCCAGGCTGGTCTCAAACTCCTGACCTCGTGATCCGCCCACCTCAGCCTTCCAAAGTGCTGGGATTACAGGCGTGAACCACTGTGCCCAGCCCTGGATTAGCCTTTCAAGCATACCTTCCCCTTCCCTCATTATAGTACTTCTCACATCTTATAGTAATTGCATGCCTAATTACCTGTCTTACCAGATCAAACTCTGTGAAACAGGTAACAGTCTTGTTCCTGAATGTTTCTGCCATTTTAACTGTGCCTAGAACTTAGGTGCACAATAAACACCGAGTTTGCCAATGACAAACACTTGGCAGCACACAAATTCAGTGAAAGCCTCAGTGGTTCTGTTAGAAGACATGTGGGGTTGATGAGGACAAAAAAAAAAAAAAAAAAAAAAAGAGAGAAACAAGCCTGGTGAAGTCAAGTGGCCACTTCAAGGAGCTCACTGCTATTTTTTAACCTAAGAAAATTCCGTACATGCACTATTAGCCACAGGGGAGACCAGAGGTGTTCTGTATGGCAAAAGAGGAAGTTGCAGTGAAGTGAGTAGTAAATGTTTATTTTGAGGATCTTCTGGTGTGACAGTGGTGTTATAAACAATCACATTACATATCATTAATCAACTAGGTGTCTGTAGGTTTTAACTAGTACTAGCTGATCTCCTATCTTGTTTTTTTCCGGTTAATTTGAATAATCATGCACTGTATGAAAAAGAAACTGATTGCCATTCTCGTATCAGTCTTTTTGAGCACTTTTTGAAAAGAGGTCGTTTCAGTTTTGACCACCTGTTTATTGCAGGAGTAAGTTAGGCATTACTTCACATTTTAGCAGCGTGGTAGTCTCTATGGGAACTTTCTTGCCTATCACTTAGATAAGCTGTGCCGTTTATTAGGCTAAAATAGCAGTGTTCTAAATGCAGTGGGTAAATTTGGGATTGACTGGATAAAGGTTCAACACTATTAAAGGATTAATAATAATACTATATTATGAGCCATAATGCTTTTATAATAAATATGCAACCACCTTTTGGTTATCATCAGTTGGTATTGTATGTTTTGCTGTGGCTGCAGGAATAACAGTGGATTTAGGAAAGTACCAGTGAGTCAATTAAGGATTTTAAGATCCCTGGGAAAAGCCAAGGAATGATCAATCTCTCCTATATACCCAATAAAATCGCTCCAGAAGACAGACTAATACCAATCATTTCATTTACTTCAGGATGTAATATACTATTTAGATCCCAGGAAGATGCTAAATTATAACCTCGTTGAAATATCTGTAGGGCATTTTGTTTTTGCGAAGGCAGTAAAACCAGACAAACGAATAACACACATCAAAATCAGATTTCTAATGTAGGGCTCTGTCCTACTGTTAAAGATGTTAGAAAGATACATACTTAGAATACCACCCTGTTCTCTCTGGGGGAGGCTATATTCAAGATGACAAGTACTCTAACATTTTTACAGACATAGATGTTGTTAATAGGGTCTTTCTGTGATTTTAGCAAAGAGAAACAGTTGAAATGTTACTCTTTCTAACTACTGACATGATTCATCTCTATCACTGGCATATGGTACTACCATTTCTCCTACTGTGGCAAGTTCTAGTTTTCCCAAGACCTAACCCTCATTGTTCTGGAAATAAAGCTTAAATATATATATTCCAAACCTTTAAATTAAAATGTTATCCCCATATATTCATGTACCAGGTTAATATCGCCACATATATCCTTTCTAATTTTGGGCTAAACAGATGTGCATTTAGAGTTGTTTAAAGACAACCCAGCTTAATATCAAGAGAAAGTGTGACCTTTCATGGAGTATTTGATGGAAAAAACACTGAGTTTTGACAAATCTTATTTTATTCAGATAGCAGTCTGATCACACATGGTCCAACAACACTCAAATAATAAATCAAATATAACCAGATGTTAAAGATTGGTCTTCAAACATCATAGCCAATGATGCCACGCTTGCCTATGATCTCTCCAACATAAAACCACATCAACACCTCAGTGGCCACCACACCATTCAGCACAGCTTCCTGAAAAAAGAAGCATATATTTTAAGGTATCTTTTTGTGTGTGTGTATATATATATAAATTTTTTTTCAAACCATTCTTTTCCAGAATTAAGGAGACAAAGAACATAAAGACACTATTCAAACTAGAAGGCAGTTTTAGTCAAAGTTGAGAATTACTAACATTACTTTTGTTCAACTGCTGAGAACCCTTGAACTTTCAATTTTGTAAGGTAAGTAGTTAAAGCTTATAAATTCTTTCAAAGCATTCTTTACAGACCTGAACTGACTTAACCCTTTCATTATAAGTTTATGAGACACTTTATGGGCCCTAAAACAACCCACATCCTGGATATAGCTGGTGCATTTAGACAGGGCATTCATATGAAAGGATGGCTCTAGGAAGGCCGAGTCTCTGAATAGACATTTTTGTCTGGCAAAAGAAAATCTGCTGAAAGATGAAGTGCTGTCTTCCCCCTTTAGACCTCATTTTTATTCATTTAGTATTTGACTTAACTCTGACCAAGTATCTGGTATTCATATCAACATTTTACTGCCCCAAGGAGAAATATACACATCTGGTTCAGGAAAGCACTGTTATTAATACATGGAGCTAGAATATGGATCTTGAAATTCTAGTTGGAAAAATAACTTTCCCTAACAAAACTAGACCTTTTCCTTTCAGTACTTCTGGAAGTGAATTTTCCCCATCAAATTAGACCAGAAGTTTATGGAAGTCTTCTGAAAAACAACCATACTTCCCAGGATGTAGGCGCTAAAATTAGCAATCATTTAGGCTTTTTGTACTCTGTGCTTGGATCATGCAAATAAAATCCAAGTTCCAGTTCTTTTTTTCCCTTTTTTTTTTTGAGACGGAGTCTCGCTCTGTTACCCAGGCTGGTGTGCAGTGGTGCGATCTCAGCTCACTGCAAACTCTGCCTCCCGGGTTCACACCATTCTCCTGCCTCAGCCTCCTGAGGAGCTGGGACTACAGGTGCCCGCCACCACGCCTGGCTAATTTTTTGTATTTTCAGTAGAGATGGGGTTTCACTGTATTAGCCAGGATGGTCTCGATCTCCTGACCTTGTGATCTGCCCGCCTCGGCCTCCCAAAGTGCTGGGATTACAGGTGTGAGCCACCAGGTCCGGCCTTTTTTCCTTAAGAGACAGGGTCTCACTCTGTCACCCAGGCAGTGACACAATCATAGCTCACTGCCTCCTCTAACTCCTGGGCTCAAGCGATCCTCTCACCTCAGCCTCCCAAGTAGTTGGGACCACAGGTGCATGCCACCACACCTGGCACATTTTTTTCACTATTTTGGGTAGAGATAGGGCCTTGCTATGTTGTCTGGGCTGGTCTTGAACTCCTGGCCTCAAGCGATCCTCCTACTTACTTTGGACTCCCAAAGTACTGGGATTACAGGCAGGAAGTGACTGCGCGTGGCCGCAAGTTCCAATTCTTACAGTTTTTAGATTTTATCTTCACACAATTCAATAACCCAGGTTTGGTATTTTTATCTTACATATAAGAAGTGTTAGCTTCCTGACTGTGATATAGTTCAAGAGATGTTTTGGCTGAACTGGGGACAATCTCAGGACTACAGATGAAAAAAGTACAGACTCAGCAAAGCAAGCCATCATATTTTAGTATACTGTCTAATATAGGACAGGAAAAAAAAATTTCCCAATAAAAAAGGTCACCTTTTTGCTAGGTTTAAGACTGTTAGGAAACTAAGACATAAAATGGGCTAATTATTTCTACCCAGGTGACAAAATTAGAAAAGTAAGTATCTTCCTCAGCAGTCAAAATTTTTTTCCTCATTATGTTGGATTCAGCCTCATTGGAAATATATATATTAATCAAAACAATCAGAAAAATCCCAAGGGAAGACATTTTCTGTTATGCGCATCCGTTTTCATTTAGCCCATGGTTACCTTAACTGTGAGCTGTTTGAAGCTACCAGTCTGAGCACTATTGACTATTTTTTTCAGGCTCTGAATAGCTCTAGGGATCTCAGCAGGGGTGGGAGGAACCAGCTCAACCTTGGCGTAGTACCAAAATGTGGCCAATCGAGGCTTCGAGTAAGTCACAGCAGCTGGAAAACAAAACAAAACAAAAAAACCAGGATGAACTCACTAGAGACCGAAAGAAGCAGATGTGTGGGCTGGACACAAATATTTATTCATGCATCACCTTCATTCACTGCTTGTACCAAATGTGCACCCGGTGTGAAAAGTCAAAGCTGCTCCCTGGTAACAAGAGGCTTTTAAAGATGCAGAACACCTGTGCCACAGGGATGTTCAATCAGGCAGGATGCTATAAGCACATTCAATTATGCCAGTACTAGTGGCCAGCTAGTACTGTACTTCATTTATGAATGGCAAATCTAGCTAACTGTAAAGATGCCAGAAGCTGGATTTAGAAACAAGAGAACAGTCAATTTCTTCATATTTTCTTGGTAGAGAGATAAGTAAATTTGAAGAAAAAGGTGAAGAAAGGGATGAAGGATTTAGAATGGCACTCTTAAGAACAAGATGGAAAGTTATCATAATATTATACACAAGTTCAGATGGAATTAAAACAACTGGTACCCAATTTGGTATTGTCATCAATATGTGCTGGATTAAATCTTTCTCTTGACAAAAGCACAGCTGCTCCTCTTTCAAAGACACCACAAATAATAAAAGTAAAACCTAAATGTATCGTTAAGAGCCCAAACTAGAATCTATTACCAAGCTGGAATTCCTCAAGGTATTTACTATTTCAAGAGAAGAGACCATTAACAACCAGGGTAGTTGTGAGAATGTAGTAGTGATTTCAGAAAGAGGAAGACATTTTTTATTTAAAAAATTATGAGAGAGGCTAGGTGCAGTGCTCATGCCTGTAAACCCACCACTCCGGGAGGCCGAGGCGGGCAGATCACTTGTGGTCAGGAATTTGAAACCATCCTGCCCAACATGGTGAAACTCTGTCTCTACTAAAACTATAAAAATTAGCTGGGCATGGTGGTGTGCGCCTGTAGTCCCAGCTACTGGGGAGGCTAAGGCATAAGAATTGCTTGGACAGGGGAGCCAGAGGTTGCAGTGAGCCAAGATCTCACCATGACACTCCAGTCTGGGGGACAGAATGAGACTTTGTTTCAAAAATTACAAGAGAAATGTAATAAAAATAGCATGAAGGCCCATAAAGTGTCTACTGTTCAAAGACAGATTACCTAAGGCTCTTGGTGTTTTCCTTGTATTAATGGCCTCCATTTGAGTATTTCTGAATTACTATCTCCCTCATCTTCTGTGTTTGGGGATATGGGCATACTTTTTCTTTTTTTTCTGAGATAGAGTCTCGCTCTATCACCCAGGCTGGAGTGCAGTGGTGTGATCTTGGCTCACTGCAAGCTCCGCCTCCCAGGTTCACGCCATTCTCCTGCCTCAGCCTCCTGAGTAGCTGGGACTACAGGCGCCTGCCACCACGCCCGGGGCTAATTTTTTTTTGTATTTTTAGTAGAGATGGGGTTTCACCATGTTAGTCAGGATGGCCTCAATCTCCTGACCTTGTGATCCGCCCGTCTTGGCTTCCCAAAGTGCTGGGATTACAGGCGTGAGCCACTGCACCCGGCCAAGGATATGGGCATACCTTCAAGCAGACACAAAGCTCTAAGAGATAGTTCCAAATAGAACTGCCAATGCCTGTAAGATGGGACAATAAAAAAAAGTACAGTCTTGTGGAACAGTCAACCAATTGTCAATATTATCTCCAACACACAGACATTTCATCCTTAAAAAAAAAAGAATCAGTTTACTGTACATAAACACTATTTTAGGTGGTAAATTTGTTTCTTAGGGGATACAGGTTAAAGAGTTTGAAACTGCTTTACATGTATACAAGAGATAAAACATAATGAATGGTAGATGATGGGAGCTAGGTTTCTCAGTGGAGGTTGAGTGATGTTACAGGTAAGTAAGAAAAGCAGCAAGAATAAACCCCACGATACTAGGTTAGAGTTGGACTCAGGTTTAGCTTAATATATACACAGACTGATAGACACGGAAATAATTATATATACATATATGCATGTATACACATATATACATCTATATGGATACCTATCTATATCCCTGTCAATTGAGAGGACCTAGAAGTAGTGATATTCTAGTAGCAAGGAACATAAACAGCACCCAGACCTTAGTTTCTCAATTCTATTGTCCAATAAAAGGAACTAAGGTTCCTTGGCGAAATGGCTGATTCTAAGGCTGGGACAGGGAAAATACAATATAAATCTGAAGCATCTTGTAGTATTAGAAAGGGAGGCAGCATGTCAAAGGGACAGAGGTGCTAACCTGAAAGAGCTCCCAAATAGCCAAGGGTGAAATAATTTGAGCAATAATACAGTATTTGATATACAAAGTATGAAATGAATGTACAAGTTCATACAGTAAGTGACCGGATAAATAAACGGAGAAGAGACAAATCTTTCTCACAGAAGAATTCTATTTAATTTATGTAGATATTCCTTCCTACAGGAGATGGAATCCCCCCACTGTAATCACACCCTGCCTTTATGGGATAGGCTTAGTTATTTGCTTCTAAAGAATAGAACACAGAGAAAAAAACAGTAACTTTACAGTGGAGGAACCTATAACCAAGTGATGAAAGCTTGTATCACCAGAAATGTCACATGAATATCATATACCTCCTGACACGTGATTAGGGCATCTCATTACTGTGATACTTCCTCAAAATCCATAGTTCCAGACTAAGCATGAGAAAAACACCAGACAAATCCAGATTGGGGAAATTCTTCAGGATACCTAGGCAGATACCTAGACAGACAAGATACCTAGATACCTTAAAACTGTCAAGGTCAGGAAAGATGAGGGAAGACTGGGAAACTGTCCTGGACCAAAGGAGGTTGGAAAGACACAGAAACTAAATGCAATGTGGTACACTGGATTGGATCCTAGAACGGGAAGATTACTGGAAAAACTACTGAAATAGAAATAAAGTCTACAGTTAAGGGGAAAAAAAAATCAGACTCTATGATTCCTAGGCAAGCCTGATGATAAATTTACTTATTTCCATAAGCTTCTTTGGCCCCCAGGGGAATTAACAGATACAGTCAGTAATTTTTATTAAATATTTAACATTCACGCCGGGCGCGGTGGCTCAAGCCTGTAATCCCAGCACTTTGGGAGGCCGAGATGGGCGGATCACGAGGTCAGGAGATCGAGACCATCCTGGCTAACACGGTGAAACCCCGTCTCTACTAAAAAATACAAAAAACTAGCCAGGCGAGGTGGCGGGCGCCTGTAGTCCCAGCTACTCGGGAGGCTGAGGCAGGAGAATGGCGTAAACCCGGGAGGTGGAGCTTGCAGTGAGCCGAGATCACGCCACTGCACTCCAGCCTGGGCGACAGAGCAAGACTCCGTCTCAAAAAAAAAAAAAAAAAAAAAAAAGAAAAAGAAAAAGAAAAAATATTTAACATTCACATTTAATACACTAGCCTGTATATGTTATAAAGCAAAATGTATTTCCACGTTAACATTCCAGCCCAGTTGAGTCCTCCTTTCTAAGTACTTTTGGAAGAATAACAAGATTTTTTTTTTTTTTGAGGCGGAGTCTTGCTGTGTTGCCCAGGCTGGAGTGCACTGGCGTGATCTCCACTCATTGCAAACTCCACCTCCCGGGTTCACACCATTCTCCTGCCTCAGCCTCCTGAGTAGCCGGGACTGCAGGTGCCCGCCACCGGGCCCGGCTAATTTTTGTATTTTTAGTAGAGATGGGGTTTCACCGTGTTAACCAGGGTGGTCTCGATCTCCCGACCTCGTGATCCGCCCATCTCGGCCTCCCAAAGTGCTGAGATTACAGGCGTGAGCCACCGCGCCCGGCCAAGAATAACAAGTTATCTTTCAATTATTTACAATAACGGAGGGAAGGGTTTATACATTTCATAACAAAAAAATTACCTTGGTGTTACTTTTTAGATTTTTATCATAAAAACTAGATTGCAATTCCTTAATATGCGCCATCTAAAAAATGTGAAAGCCACACCAGAAAAAAAATCCACTTGAAATATTAAGAATTGTGCCTTAAATCATCCACTCCACGAAGTCCAGAGTGAAGCCTCCAATCCTTTTTTCTCTTTAGTTTTTTTTTTTTTTTTTTTTTTTTTTTTTGAGACGGAGTCTCCTCTGTCACCAGGCTGGAGTGCAGTGGTGCGATCTTGGCTCACTGCAACCTCTGCCTCCTGGGTTAAAGAGATTTTCCTGCCTCAGCTTTCCCAGTAGCTGGGATTACAGGAGCCCGCCACCACGCCTGGCTAATTTCTGTTTTAGTAGAGATGAGGTTTCACCATGTTGGTGAGGCTGGTGTCAAACTCCTGCCCTCAGGTGATCCACCCGCCTTGGCGTCGCAAAGTGCTGGGACTACAGGCGTGAGCCACAGCGTCCAGGCTTTTTTTTTGAGACCGAGTCTCGCTTTGTCGCCCAGGCTGGCATGCAGTGGTGCGATCTCGACTCACTGCAACCTCCGCCTCCTGGGTTCAAGCGATTCTCCTGCCTCCACCTCCCAAGTAGCTGCGATTACAGGCGTGCACCACCAGGCCTGGTAGTATTTTTAGTAGAGATGCGGTTTCACCTTGTTGGCCAAGCTGGTCTCGAACTCCTGCCCTCAAGTGATCTGCCCGCCTCGGCCTCCCAAAGTGCTGAGATTACAGGCCTGAGCCACCGCCGCAGGGCCATCTCTTTTGATTAATATAAAATTGTAGAGCTCTATGACAGATAACAATCTTAGTAAAGTAAAAGATTTTTTTGCAAGCTTAAGAAATTCTTTGGGAAAATGTGTAAAATGTTTCGCTAGTAGGATGTGAGGTTCTGCAGGAGAGCCTTCAATAACTCATAGTTTGGCTGGTGATGGAGGGAAGGGAGGAGAGAATGGATAAAATACCAGGCTGGCACTGTGGCTCACGTCTGTAACTCCAGCACTTTGGGAGGCCGAGGCGGGAGGATCCCTTGAGCCCAGGAGTTAAGAGACTAGCCTGGGCAACATGGCGAAATCCCGTCTCTTAAAACATACAAAAATTAGCCAGGTGTGGTGGCGCGCCTGTGATCCCAGCTACTCAGGAGGCTGAGGTGGGAGGATCGCTTGAGCCTCGGAGGCAGAGGCTGCAGTGAGCTGTGATCTACCACAGCACTCCAACCTGGGTGACAGAGTGAGAGTCCCTGTCTTCTAGGAAAAAAAAAAAAGAAAGAAGGAAAAAGAAAATACCCAAATCAAACTCAAGCACAGCAAAAGAGACTAAAAAGTATTACTTTTTTTTTTTGAAGTTCTGCTTTCTATTCACATTTCAGAAATCTGGGCGAAAGTTAGAGATCTGACCTTCAGTCACTTACTGGAATACAGCACATTTAGGAAAACCTTACGTCAATTTATCTTATCTCGCTTCACGAATAAAATGAATAGCCTGCCACTGAGAAGACAACTGAAATATTTACTGGCCAAATAAACTAGTACTCAGAGGCTGTGATTATTCAGGGTTGTTGTGAAATACAGGGGTCTACCAGTGAGGCTCTTCAAGCCGAAAAAATTCCACGAATGCTAAGCTGTAATAACAAAGATTACTATTTATACGGATCCCGTTCTATGCTTCTCAGGGCACGGATACTCATCCATGAAGTTCATTTCCACCAAAAATTTCCCTCGGACTAAAGTGTAAGTATCTTAGAATCCGTCTAGGACAGAAAGCAAAGTCGACATTTCTGTTGACTTCCAAATACTCCACTGACAACCAGACCATGTGATGAGGCCGAATTGATGTACTTTCACACGTTTCTGCCTTTCCTTTTCTTAGCTCTCCTAACAGAGCCATGCCCTCTATATTCCTGCCCTTAGCGATCTCAGGGGGCGTAATGGCGGAGCTGCCGGGCAACGCCGGGCATCCTTCACACTACCTCTCTTCCCAGTGGTGGTTGGATTTCAGGAACTTCTAGGTTGTGTAGAGAACCCAATCTGCAGGTCAGGCGAGCGGAAGGCTAGAGGAGAGTCGCCAACCTTCCTGCTTCCTCCACCTGCAGGCCATCCCGACCCGGCACCCGCAAGCCCCTCGGGTCTTTGCCGCCCGCTTCTTCCTCTCAGGCCATCGCAGGCCTCCCTGCCGCCCGTGTGCCCGCCTCGGCGGTCTTACATCGCGCTCACCGTTCACCAGAGCCGGGGTCTTCTCCACAAGGTTACGGACAAATTGGGCCATGGTTCTCGGATGCGAAGTCCGTCGCCCGGAACGGCCGGCTGAATGTCACCCGCCGGAAGGACCCGTTGCAGGACCCCGTCCCACTTCCAAGGTCAGGCCGCCTCTTTTCGCGCCGGTCGAGGATATTTAAATGTCCAAAGATCTTTGCAGAATCCAGTCTGTCCACTTACTTTTTTCAACATGGAAGAGAAAGTGGATATGAAAATATGATATTAGAGAGCATGTGAAGAACAGCGGGATTCCGCAGAGAAGCAGGCATTTTGTTGGGCAGCCACTAGCAGAGGACCGGAAACCCGGCAAGGAGCGGAAATGCGCATGCGCCCTGAACCTTCAGTGCTTTTCTTGGCGCCGATCTCCGCTCTTTCGCGTCGGGTGCTTTAGCTGCGTTTCTGAGAACCTATGAAGTCGGTGCTGCAGAAGCATTCGCTGAGATTCTTCTAGTCCCACACGATCGTTGTACAGAGGTAGAGAGGGTCCAAGGCCAAACATATAAAGTTATGGGCCGAGCAAGCACCACACAACCTGGTACCAGGTTCAACCCATAGCCCTTTTTATTTGAGAGAGTCTCGTTCTGTCGCCCAGGCTGAAGTGCAGTGGCAAGACTTCGGCTCCTTGCAACCTACGTCCCCCGGGTTCCAGCGATTGTCGTGCCTCAGTCTTCCGAGTAGATGGGACTACAGGCGCCCGCCACCACGCCTGGCTAATTTTTGTATTTTTAGTAGAGACTGTGTTTCACCATGTTGGCCAGGCTGGTCTCGAACTCCTAGCCTCAAGTGATCCGCCCGCCTTGGTGCTGGGATTACAGGCGTGAATCACCGCCCCTGGCCCCATAGCCCTTTTTAAAGTTGATTTTTTTTGTAATCCAAGTCTCCCCAAAGTCCTGTATCAGGATTGGAATCCATTTCCCCTAATTCCCTAGTTAGCCACAAGGAGTTGTGCAGATGTGAGGGAAAAAACACCTGTATTGAACGCCCACACTATGCCAGGCATTTTGGAATTTAAAGAAAGCCTGTAAGGCATTGTCCCCATTGAGACTGGTCTTGAAAAATGGCCACACAATTTGGAAGTGGCAGAGTTGAGATCTGAAGAAGCTGCAATGTAAACTCAGAGAGGGGGCATTCTATCAGATTAGGCATGGTGGTGATTTCAGCATACTTCCTAGAGAAGATCCTTGAGCTGATGTGTGAGAGAACAGCTGTATACTACAGAGGGCTGAAACTTCATAGTTTAATATGAGAAAGAAAAAATGTATATAGGGAAGTGGCATTTGATGAGAGGAACAGAACTATAATGTATCCTGGGGAAGTCTGGGCAGAGGTAAATCTCTGATTTTTGGAATGGTTAGAGGGGTGGAAAGAAAAATTTGAAGTGGTATCAAGGAACTAAGAACTTTTCAGTGAAGGAGTGATTCTGCTGCCCTAGATACTGCAGAAAAGTCAAATTAAGGATGGGAAAGTTAATTTAGCAATATGGCAGTCTTTAATTAGCGCAGTTTCAAAAAATTAGGATAGAAGCCAGGGTGAATGGTGAAGAAATATGGCTGTAAAGGATTACAAGTCAGAAAACCCAAGGGGGATGTGGAACTCAGGGGAGAAATTGAAGACAGAGAAGACGCAGTCATTTATTTATTTAGAAATGGGGTCTTGCCACATTGCCTAGGCTGGTCTGAAACTCCTGGCCTCAAGAGATCATCCCACTTCTGCCTGTTGCTTAGCTCTAGGATTACAGGCACAGGCCATCCTGCCTGATGAGAAGGGATATTGACAAGAGGCAATATCCTTTCCTGACGAGGCAGGAAAGGAGAACTAGCCAGGGATCTATGGGGCCTTTTCCACAGATGTGATGATGGGAGAGAGGTTTGAAAGTCTTCAAAGTCTCTGAAGTCTTTATCTTCCCAGCAAAATGAAGGCAAACTCATTGGATTGCGAGGGGTAACTGGGAGGGGGGGATGGGAAGGAATTTAAGGAAGGAGGCCACAGTTTGGAATAGCTGAAGGACACACAGAAGGGTTGTTGGGCAACATTGGAGATAAGTTTGTGGTTGCACCATTCTAAAAATTGTGTTTTTCCTCCAGCAATGGTCTGCAGTTTGGATACTGCAGCAGAGGGGAATGGCTGAGTTGATCTAGGCTGACATCTTGCATGGCAGGGGTATGGAAACAAGGAGCAAGAAAGGGGAAGATAACAGCAAATGATTACAAAGACCGGGGGTTCAGGCCAGATAAAGAAAAACAGTGAAGCCAAAAGAGAGCTGGTTAGGAAAACCATACTGTGAGATTCATCTCCTGAGGGTAACCCCAGGGTCCCCTCCAGAGGCCTGGTAAGGTAGGCTGGATCAGCCAGGTCACACATATTTGATGTTACTTACCTAAAAAAAAAGTGAAACATCAGAATCCTCTAAGTTTTCAGGGGGATTTCTGAAACTGCCACTAGCTTTTAATAATGGAATAAAGTGATAACAAAGGTTGTAAGTCAGGTGTTCATTTATTAAATACAAGTTTTGAACAAACACTGCCAGGCAAGTTTAACAAGAAGTAACCTTCCTGGAATGTTTCAAAATACAGTCGTGTTGATCAAGTTTTATTTCAATCAACCTTTTCATTTTCTGTTTCTAGGTTCATTTCCTGTTGAGCAATTAGAGCATGTGCATTATTTCCTCACATGACATCACAACAGTGCAGCATCAGCCTCTGGCTTGTAAAGGCACCCAGTAGACCTATGCTCTGTGCAATGGCTGCTTAGCAACCACCATCAAATAAAGTAATGAAGCTTTTGTAGAGTGTGATACCAAATAGCAACTGGCACCTTCACTTGCACCATTAAAAAAACCTTTAACATTTCCTTCAGTTTTCACATATCCATTAAAAACTATAGTAAAAAACAAAACCCAGACTGCTTGATAAAACATACTTAAACAATTTTCCAAGTTTAGTATTAGCCTCTTGGTAAGTTATGAGCAATACCAGAGCTGAGTGTAAGAGTCTTCATTTTGCTATCATACTCCAGCAAAGCCAACACACAAAACTAGGTATGTTAGAAAGTCTGCTCTACTAGATTTAGAGCTGCTTCTAAGTTCCAGACAAGACACCTTTTTAAGCTTCCAAGTGTATATATACACACGGTGTTGTACCAAGATAACTTTTTAAAGTCTAATTTTTTTGGATGTCCTTAAATTACTTCACAGAAAGAAAAAAGGCACAGAGGACACTTGGTTTCCTTACCAGTAGTGGCCTTAAGCTACACACTTGCCTGTGCAAAGAGTTTAAAGATATTCAGCAGCATTAATGGTGCCACAGCCATTCATAAAAAGTTTCAGGAAAATAGTTTAAAAAAAGAAGAAAAGCTTGCCAGAAAAGGCTTACAATCTGAAGGTTAAATACAGAAGAATACAGACAGAGACTGGAGGCAGCATGGGGGTTGTTAACTAGGAAGCTGCTGGGAATAGCTGCCTTCTGAGTTTTTGTGCCCATTTTCCTCCAGTTTTCTCCTGAAAAACTCTGGTCTTTTCCCCGGTTTTTAAAATGAAAACATCCTAGTAGATTGGGTTTGAAGGATAAATGCAAATAGGCAGAAGCTTATTTTATACATAGTTCATTCTCAGAGAGGGAAAGGAGGATGATAAATATTGAATGAAGCTAATTTTAGAAAATAAACAAATCCTGTCAACCCATGCCGTAAAGGCCCAGGGAGCACACCGAATGAATCTTACATTCTGGCATTTGCAAAAGTGTCTTCAACTTCCTTTTTCATTTATAAGCACAGCAATAGGCAACACCTATTTTATATCTCGGGTGGGAAGCCCTCTTAGATTTGAGGCTTTCCAGCTGATGGAATCGAAAACACATCAAGGACTGCTTATAGCAACTTGTGTTGAAATGTAAAACTACTATTTTATTTGAAAGAGACCATAGTTAATAACATGTTCCAAATGAAGCAGTGACACCCATTTCTTGATCCTATCACTTTTCTTGTCACTTATGACATCTCTGGGCTTAGAAAGACAGTGATATAAAGACAGTCCATAAGGGGGAATGTCCCTAGTCAGCATATTAAGCTGCACAGTTGAGTAGTGAGCTCAGTTTCACTAATGAAAGTGGTGAACATCCACCTACTAACTACACAGGACTAAGTGGATATTTAAAATGGCTTGTGGACAAGGTTGTGCCCAAATTTTTACTTTGTTAATTGAAGACCTAAGGCTGTGTTAGAAGTAGCTCTTAGAAGTCAGGTCACAAGCCCAAACAAATATTAACTATATACATTTTATAATCTCAGCATTTTGTCAAGAATGAGTATGTTAGTAAACATGGCCACATACTGCATACATCTCACTATGGAAGAGAAAATATAAAGTGGTACTCAGTTTACACTAAATCAACATAAAAAAGCAAATGGGGTATATGTGTGTATATATATATCTCACACACTGAGATATACTGTTGATATTAGTGTCTTAAAATGACATTTTTCATGGATATGATATTCGTTGCCTAAACCTGCTTAGGCCTAGTCCTTGTAGAGACAGATTTTCATAAGAGAATAAGGGCCCAACAGTCTCCTCACCCCCATCAATTGGTAGGATTGCGTTACCAATCCTCATTAAAAGAACTGTATAACAAAATTACAAGCTATCAACAGAAGTTGCACAAGATTCCTTTAAATTCCTTTTTTTTTAAAAAAAAAAATTCTCATCTATCATCTTATTCAAAAGTCTACACAAACTTCAAGGTATCTGCTTTTATGTGAAGTTATTCTGTAACAGAAAAGGGTCTAGATCATGAGGACTAGTAAATACACAGGATAACACAGGATTTTCTGATGACATCAGCTGTCACTGAAATATGTGACATCATATACTTATAAAAGCAGCACTCACCAAAAATGTTTGAACAGTAATTGGAAGAGAAATAGCAGGGTGACAGGAAGTTTTAGTAGCTGAAATCATTTAGGAAAAGGAAGAAGAATATGAAGAGACAACAAAAGGTGAAATGAGTGATTTCTAAACTTGGTGATGCTATAATAAGTATAATTTCCTGCAAGCCAGGGGAGCATTGTCAAGTTCTTAGGAATCTTAACTATCATAATTTCAGCAAGAGCAGTTCTCTAATTTAGTAAAGAAAAAAAAAAAAAAAAAAAAAGAAAAAAAGAAAAAGAAAAAAAGGAACAGAACCAGAAAGAGAGAAACCACAAACAATTGTTTATCTGCACTCTGGGGTTGGTTTTGGTTTGGTTAGTTCACAGTATCTATTCAAGTTGCTCCTTTTGTTGTTTC